TCAGACCAAACAGTCTGTCTGCTCTTGACCAACAATCCATTTATTGTTTGCACCATGTTGTGTATGCAGAATGTTTTCACATTGTTTCTATTTATTTTGGATTGTAATGAGAATATTTTGGTTCCAGTTACTAAACATATGACATGTATTTCTTGTTCTTATCTTGGCATCAGTTGTATGTCACCAGTGTCAAAGATCAATATGATGCTCTGGTTGGAATGCTTTTCATCTGCAGTAATCTTGTATGGAACTCATCTCTTACATTAGTGTTGATAAAGCAAACCTGATCAAAAGCCAATTTTGAAGATGGAAGTTGTAAGTCCTACTTTTTATCATCACTTGGACTCTTGCCATCAAAAGTAGGTATTCAAAAGAGAAATTTTACTTATTTATTTAAAAAGGACTGCTTTAATCATTTGTCAGTATGTAACATTTGCTATATGTGATTTTTCTCATGTCTCCTACATTGGTAGAGTGTCAGACCACTGACTGTTTTTCAAGAAAGATGATTTTCAAAATTGACAAACTTTGCGTAACTATGAGTCAAGGCAATAGCTGGATTCTTTTGTCATGTAGGAATTTAATAAGATATTTTTTTCATTTTCATAAACATGACCACTGATCCAAGAAATCTTTTAAAATATGCAGGATATGTATCAGTCTTTAATTTAGTGTCATGTCTGTCCCAGCCAGCTCTAGTGGTCAGTGAGGGGCTTGAGTCATGATGGAACGTACCATTGGTTGGGGGATATGTGTAATTCATGCAGGTTCTTACATTGTCTTCCAAATAGACCCACAGTATTCTTCATGGCATTTTTAAAGATAATGGTTGAGGTAGGAAAAAGCTCAAGAGAATTTACAGTCTCAAGAAGTGTTAATGTATTTAACATTAATCTAAGTAATATGTTCTCTAGATAGAGTCCTGCTTTAAAAACGTTTGGGTCAAAGGTTACTGTTCAGAATTTGATGAAATGTTAAATATCATCGTTTCTGAAGCACACTTACCTTGACAGGAGCTAATGTTTCAAAAGATCAAGGTCATTTTTGAAATTATTGTGAAACATAATTGTATTATACATTACCAGTTATTGTTGCACTTCAGCTTGAACATTCCTGAGGTTTGTAGGGGCAGTGGTGTAGCCCAGTGGTTAAAGCGTCCCATTTTTGGAGTCCCCCTCCGTGATATTGCTGGAATATTGCTAAAAGCGGTGAAAACCCAACTCACTCACTCATTGAGGTTTGTATCATCTTAAGAAGTTTTCTTAAGGTCAAGATTTGGAAATAAGGATTTCCACATGATAGTACATGCTAGTATGAATGGTATGTTGTGATTTGATGTACTTTGACAGAAGTGTGGTGAAGTGGCCACGTATGTTTTTGCAGTACAAACCTTGCTCTTTTGCCTTTGCCTTTGCCTATTGCACTGCAATGTTGTAAGGATCACTGATTTGAAATTGATCAAGGCTTTTTAAATACCATTCAACCTATATATCACTGGCCATTGTTCTTCAGGCTGACATTATGATAAAAGGTTTATGACAATTTTCACTGAAAATTTGTGTTTCTTCTTCAAATATGATATCTGATTATACTCAATTTATAGCGATAAAAGTATCTGCATCCTTCATGTACATGCAGCCTCGATCCTGTATTTTGAAAATATTAATGAGAATTCCCATTGTTGTGTTATAGTTTTCGCACAAAAATATGTGGAATGGAAATTATTGACTGAAACTTATGTTTTTAAGCAGATTAATTAACAGAATAAAGAAGAACTAAATATTGATTGAATTCAGAGTTGGTTTATGTTTGTAAAGTGTTCATTACAGTTGTAAGATGTAAAAGATAATACTGCTATAAGATTAGACACGGACACAAATCGACTAGACCCCAAAACATAAAAGTAGTCATTTTCAACTGAAATGATGTGACATTAACCAATAGTTGAAAAAGAACTATGGACTGAATGGATTAAACATATTGAGTTTACCCCTAGACTATTGTGTAGAGTTGTTTGTGAGAGCAATATGAATGTTCAGTTCTTTGTATTGTTCAGTGAAGACTAGATAATGTGTGACAAGTTAGTAGCGAGTCGTATTGAGTTGGGAGTAGCAGATAACACTGATAGAATGTAGGTCAAGGTAGAGGTAGGTTTAGTCGGAACTGCTAACATCTTTGTAGCATATGCATGTCATCCTTCCTGTGCTGAATGTTTCTGACACAGCCTGTTAATGAGGCTATCTAAGGCTGTTAACAGTAAACATTAGATAATCCATGTGTTGTTCAAAAATAAGAAATGGTAGTTATTATTTATTGTCAGACAAAATGTTCAGGAATTTTGTGGTTTTAGGCTTTGAAATAATAAACTTTGTCTTTAGATAAACATCTTAAACTTCTTATTATTACTAAATGTATCTGAAAATATTCCATTTGAGCAACATTTCAGACATTTAGTGAAACATTTTTGTGTATAAATATTTCATGCATGTAACTGAATTTATTCAGTGAAATATGCAAGACCTACTGAACAATGAGTGAAGCTTACCGGGCAATAAATGATCTTTGTCCTCATTATGGCATTGTGAGCAGAAATTCAACAAGATGCACTTGGAGTTCAATGTAAAACCAGGTCATCCTGTTTTACTTTTCAAGGTTGAAAAAAGAATGTAGTTGTGCCCAAATTATTCAGGATTATTAGGCTCCAGCAGATTTAACAGCTGTGGAAATTAATATATATGAGGCTAGTGTGAGCTTGCTGGACAGAAAGAAATTTAACTCTGGGGAATATATGTGCTACAAAGAACCACACATATCTAAACATATCTTCAACTAGTGGAGCCTCCAGACATACTGCTGAATATATCCCAATTTCAAACTCTCTCTTAGAAACACTTTAACCACCAAAGCTTAGTAAAATGTAGTAATTCTTTTGGGTTGGTAAGATAAAACATCATGTTGCTTATAAGATGTTTTCTCAGACATCTACCTATAAAAGCAAATGACAATTTTTGGCTAGTTGACAGTTGGGCTGAAAGTGTTGAAAGACGAAAACTGTAAATGATCATTCAATGATGTAAGATAGTTCTTGAAGTGGTTTTAAAGTTAGGTCAGCCAGGTCATTCTATATTCAAGAGCTTTTCCAGAGGTATGTTTATGTCTGGAACACTGACATCTTAGTTTTTGAGGGTTGCTTGTGATTTTGTATGAATAAATTAGAGCAAGGATATGTATGTTGATATGAAAATAGAGCTTATCACCTTAACTTCAAGGTCACAAGGGACTTTGAGGTTTTACCCTTGTCAACGAGATATCTCAAGAACTGTTCACTGGATTTTCTGCATATCTTACACCAAGCTTCATCTATGGAAGCGCAGGGCTCAGTCGATTTTGGTGACCTTCACGTAAAATGTCAAGGTCACTGTGACACTTTGAAGATTTCAGCATGTTAACCTGCATGTTAAGCTTATCAGCGAGATATCTCAAGAACCGTTCACTGGATTTTCTTCAGATTTCACATCAAGCTTCATATAGGGAAGGCGCAGGGCCAAGTCTATTTTGGTTACCTTTCAAGGTCATGGCAACACTTTGTAGATTTCAGCATGTCTGCATGTTAAGCTTCTCAGCAAGATACCTCAAGAACCATTGATTGGACTTTATTCATATTTGACACCAAACCTCATCTAGGGAATGCACAGGGCCCAGTCGATTTTGGTGACCTTCACGTAATTTTCAAGGTCACAGCGACACTTGAAGATTTCAGCATGTTAACCTGCATGTTAAGCTTGTCAGCGAGATGTCTCAAGAACGGTCCACTGGATTTTTTTCAGATTTTCACATCAAGCTTTCATATAGGGAAGGCACAGGGCCCAGTCGAATATGGTGACCTTCGCGTAATGTTCAAGGTCATGCTGACACCTTGAAGATTTCAGCATGTTAACCTGCATATAAGCTTGTAAGCAAGATACCTCAAGAACCATTCTTCATATTTGACACCAAGCTTCATCTAGGGAAGGTGCAAGGGCCAGTCGATTTTGGTGACCTTCATGTAATTTTCAAGGTCACGGTGACACTTTGAAGATTTCAGCATGTTAAGATTGTCAGCAAGATATCTCAAGAACGGTTCTCTGGATTTTCTTCATAGGCTTTGAAGATTTCCCCTTGAGTGTTTTTTGATAGCTATTTCTTTATTACCAGTTAAGCCCATTTCTGGTGTCCCCCGCCGTGATATTGCTGGAATATTGCTAAAAGCGGCGTAAAACTAAACTTAGTCAGTCAGTCAGTCAGTCCAGTACTGGACTCAAATTAGTGATGCTATTGCATGCAATATATTCATGTCTATCTAGACAGTGGCTTGGCATCAGTTGGAGATGTCTGGAATCTGGAGAGGGCAAGGCAAAAACACCAGCATCAGTCAGTGATACAGTGGTAATCCTCTCAGGACTGCTTGCTGATTTACTGTTATCTTACTGTGGGAAGCTGGTTGTAACACATGATCAATATTGGAGCAAATTGTTCTTCAGATTAACATGACAAGTTACCAGATTCACTTATGATTTTAGCTTAAAGTTTCTTAATCTTTTGACACTATTAAAAAATATCATCAGATGTTTGCGTCCCTTTGAACATTTTTTGTATTTACTCTATCGTGGACCCTTTGCATTAAAAGGAACTGTTTTCAGTCTACACAATAGCTAGCAAACCTGATCGCTGACACTTTTAACACCTAACGCAAATGAGGTTGTAGCTTGGAAAATTCTTTCCATGAACAACCACATCATGGTCATATTTCCTTAATGGTATCTGTTTGATGACAATTTGTAGGTTGGTGAGTAACAATAAAGGCAAGATGCTTATGTTATGATGCAACATTTGGGAATGGATTCACAAAGGGGATTCACAAAGTGTACTCCCTCCCAACATAACTGTTAGTAGCTACTGCTTGTGAGAGAATCCATTCTATATCATACTGCAAATGTAAAGTTCTCTTTCTTTGATTGCAGGTCCAGAATTCAAATGAAGGTGATGACATGAACCAAAAGATTCGTCAGGTGCTTGGAGATTTTTCTGACTTCAAGAGCAGAGGTCCCAAGTACACGATAGGTGCAATGCCGGCACCCACAACTCCACAACCTCAAACCAGTAGCAGCAAGTTTTTAAGCATCCAAGCACACAGAATGGTGCTTTAAGACATGGAGAAAACAAATCTACACATGACCACAGCCGCCGCAGTTTAGAGGGATCAGGGTACAAATCCCAGCCTGGTCAAAGCACAGATTTTGATCCTAAGTCAGTGGACATCAAATCTGGCCATGGACATAAACAACGGAGTGATATGAAATCTAGCCATGACCACAAAGCAGGGTACAGCGACAAGAGAAGTCGAGACCACAGTGCTGACTCTTACAAAGCAGGAAGAGAACACAGAAGCCATCATAGCAACCATGATCGAACTAGAATGCCCTCAGATGGAGGTGGGGGATCTGATGGTGGTGGTGGTAGTGGAGGAAGCAGGCGAAGTCACTCCAGCGAACGCTCCATCCATTCCAAACAACCGAGTAGCAGCCACTCCCAGTCATCCTCCTCTTCACAACAGTCTAGTCTATCCAATTCCCAGTCCCCAGCAAAACCAAGTTTCCCATCAATGCATTCACCCTTGTCATCACAAAGCAAGTATCAGCTTCATTCCAAACACTCCACCAGCCCTAGTCCTAGTCAAACTGCCAGCAAATCACAGACTTCATCCAATATCATTGTCCCATCTCCCAAAAAGTCACCGGGCTCAGCCAGCAAGCCAATGTTCCAGTCTAAACCTTCTTCTGGTTCTCACCACAGTACTTCGTCATCTGTCCCAAACCAGGCCAGTAACATGCCTCTCAAAGAGTCAACGACTCCACCAAACGGTATTATCAGTCGGGGACCCTTGGTCAAGCAACAACAGAAAAACAAATTGCCAAAGCTTCTCATACAGTCTGAGGTAAGATTAGTAGCTTAACATCTGTTGATGTTGATTAAGCATTGCCAGCTAGTACAATTATTTTGTAAAAGGTATAAAACTCTTTGGCAGTATTAAATGAAGAATGTCAGTAAGCTTGTGAAATGGATACTATCACTTGAAAACAAATTCCTTTTTCATCCTGAATTACCCAGAAATTCACACATTCTTATCTTTTCAGAACAATGCCCCGTCTTTTGGAATTGAAGGTCTCCATGACATATTCAATGTAAGTATGTCTTCTTGTTCTCATCCCCACATAGGTACAATTTGTGAAGCCCATTTCTGGTGTCCCCCTGCCGTGATATTGCTGGAATATTGCTAACGGCATAAAACCATACTCAGTCAGTCTTGTTCGCATCGTTTGGAGTGAGTGAGTGAGTTTAGTTTTACACCACACTCAGCAATATTCCAGCTATATGGCGGCAGTCTGTAAATAATCGAGTCTGGACCAGACAATCAAGGGGTCAACAGCATGAGCATCGATCTATGCAAGTTGGATGCAGTGACATGTGTCAACCAAGTCAGCAAGCCTGACCACCTGATCCTGTTAGTCGCCTCTTACGACAAGCATGGGTTACCGAAGATCAATTCTAACCTCGATCTTCATGGGTTTGTTTGTCTTATTGTTTGGAGAACTTATTTGATGACAATATACAGTAATGTGCAGTTACATTGTATCATATGCTTTGGGAGGGGACATGATAGTATTTGAATGATCACATTCTGATGTCACAGTTATTTGGGATATATGAATTGAACATATATGTATCTCCACAAAATATTCTGGGATATTAGTACTTCTGCTCTGTTTTGTATTTTCACCTATGTTAACTTTTCAAAATTAATGCAAGCCTCTTCCCTCTTTCACACACATATGCTGACTTATGAAAGTGAAGAAAAAGTAAGCAGAGATTTATTTTCACAATAATAGTGTCATTGGTGGCTCTTCTGTCCCACCTAAATATTCTGAATCACAAAGCACATCCACACACGACAACAAACCTTTCTATCCATTATTGATAAGCTTCTATCTGGCAGTGCTGGCTGCTCCCACGGGAGATCTTTTATGCTAAAAACAACTGTGCCAGGGGAGGACTTCCCATCTGCGTAATCAGAAATTCAATTTGCAATGGGTGTCTCAGCATCCAGCAAATCAGAGAAGGAATAGATGGGATTTAGCTGAGACCATCCTGTCATCAAGAGAGTCAATTACACAGCCAGACCTTGATACACACCATCCATACAGCTAAATTAAATTACAAATATTGCTGAATAAATTATAACAACCAGTCTCCCAAGATGTCAGTCACTGTGGTAAAGTTGTCTGTACTGGACTTGACTGGCGGGACATTTTCTCTCTGTTATTGTCAAATGAACACGTGCCAGACATTTTGTTTGTTTTTGACAAATCAGCATGTGTCTGGAAAACCAGCAGTACCTCGTGTTATAGATTCTTATTTTATAAGTCTAATCTTGTCAATACACTTGATCATTTTTTCCATTTGTGTGAATAAGAAATATTTGCAACCACCCACATTGGTTTCTTTGCTGAAGTTCCTGAAATTTTACCTGATAGTTAACATATTGCCTTCCACTCTCATTTTCTTGAATTATTGATTTTCTATAAAAGGATGATTGCAATTGTAATCCTTATTTGTTTGGCAGGAAATGAGAAGTATCCCTGCACCTGTGTCAGAAATTAATACACCAAGAAAATCAGAGGAAAAACTGTCATTCCAAATTCCACCAAAGCTTGGAAAGGTAAGAAAGTGAAGGAGTCATTTTTATGGAAAAACCATTTGTGACCATTTATGTCTACACAAAACAATGTTGCAGTAAATGGAATGTTAGATGGAGACATTAACATCCAAGTAGCTAGATGTCCATGTGGGTTTGATTTAGTCTCATATCAATAACTCTTTGCATGAAGTACTGAGGACTCCTCTATACAATGTCTTTGCTCTGGTTAATACTGCACTTTGGTTGCGCAATCTAAATAAAGGAATATGGGTTCTTGAACCAATCACATCTTTCTGAAATGATTTGGCTTTTTTACCACCTCTATTAGAAAAATATTGCAAAAGAAAAACTCAACTGAAAACATACAAATAAGTTCAACTGACATGACTTATTTAAGTGTCGTCAGATCTTCATGCTCAGAGCTATCACATCAAAGTTATACAGCTTAACAAAATGTAATTGGTAATCTTTTGAAACCTGGGGTTGTGTTGTCCCTACATACCACATGATTGAAGTAAGAAGTGATTAGAATGGAAATCCAGTGTTACAATGTGACACCTTGTGTTTCTTGCTGTGATATTAACAATCACAGGCTTGTCTGATGCAGGCTGCAATCTTTGAAATGGCTGTACAAAAGCTAATTTTGGCCAAAGTCAGTATTTGCTCAGTCATGACACTGCTATAGAAAACACCTAACAGGGTCAGAGTATTGTCAGCTACTTACAGTTGGTGAGGTCATTGACAGGCTGTCCACTGACAGAGGGGATCAATAGGTGAGATGAATGCCATTCCAAGTTAGTATGGTTACTTTACTGTCTTTGTAGACCGATTATGTTTTAAGGTCAGTTAACATGGATGATAAAGAAATTTCTGAAAACTTTTGATACAATACTGATGTGGAAACGGAATACTAACCAATCCTGCATAATGAAATTAATTCGATCTGTGTTTTCACATTGGTCTTGTGCAGTCAAAAGCTTCTGTTACATTATTTATTTCTGAAGCTTTGTGCACTTCAGTTATAGCATGAAGAATATTCATTTTTACAGATGCATAGACATTTGGGATTTCTCTACTTATGGCTATTACTTCACCCTTTTCTTTCAAAGTGTTTTGACATGTACAAAACGCAACATGGTCCCAATAACAACGCAGCTGTCTCAAAACTTTGAACTGATCATGCTTTTTTCAAAACGTGAAAAAGGTTATTGTGGGACATTGGTCCAAATGCACGTGCATACTGGCAAACAAGGATAAGTTGAGCACCAACCCGACAATTGACCCGTATTAGCATGTATGAGTGCTGCCCACTGGCGCTTGCCATTGTTAGCGAAGGGGCCCTAGGTTGTCTGCGATCAAGTGTAGTGTGACTTGCTACACCGACGTGAGAGTCTTACAAGCAAGGCATAGAGTAAATTTCATTGTCAATGCAATGCACATGCACTAGCCTACATCTGCTCTACCATACTCGTATAGACGTTCTCTGCGCCGGTCCAAATTATCCTTGTTTGCCAGTAATTGTGGCATAAATACTGATGTTGGACAGAGCAAGCATGCAGTAGCCAAAAAATACACCTCGAACGTGCAAAGATGCACAACTAGACGGGGCAATCGGTATGTCCAATATAGGGGTTTCATAATGTCAGCTTGCAAGAACCTACAACTGCAGCTAGGCCACTAAATTGAAACACTGCTACCAGCAAACAGGCCAGACCCAAGATTGGGAAGATCAAGAGTCGATCAGGAAGATGACATCGGCTGAAGACCGCTACATCTGGCAGATCCACCTTACGAACAGATTCATGGTGGCAACGTCAATGGCGGCGACAGCATTAGGGCACCCCATCAGCAGTCTTTCGACAACTTGCTATGGCTGGTATATGAGCCTACTACCCCCTTCTGTGGAATGGCCCCGACTCATCTACACCACGAACTGTATGTCGGTGGCAGTGACGTGACTGGGAGAGAGTGCTCTTTACAGATGCAAGTCGGGTCAGTCGGTTCAGAAACGAGGGCAGAGTTCGATTTTTGGACGTTGAGGAAAGTGACTTGCACCTTACTGCATTCAAGAAGTTCATCTGTTCAATGGAGGAGGCGTCATGTTATGGGGTGGCGTTTGTTGCCAGAGAAACAAGGAGACCGGATATCATCTGAGGAAATCATTTTGCAGCATGACAATGGGTGCCCTCACACCGCCAGGAATGTTTGAGAATACCTTCACAATGTTAACATCAACATATTGCCTTGGCCAGTGCATTCTCCAGACATGAACCCCATTGAACATCTCTGGGATCATCTTGTTTATCAGCTGAGACAGCTTGTACCACCTCCAGCGAACCAACAGGAACTGAACAGACTGTCATGGACTGATGACATCAGTGAGGTGGGCACATGTTGGCGTGTATGGATGTCCAGTATGGTCACACTTGCTATTGATGACGTGTTTCCCGACTCCTGTCTCATGTGACACTCAACGCAGTATTTGAATGAATTCTGATTTGTGTCATATTTTATTTTGACCCCTTGACTCTTTCTTAATAAATTGCGACCAGCATTACAATGAATTTTGAGTCAAATTATTGGAAAATGACTTCTGTTTGTGAAATAATTATCATAAAGCTCACATACTTCCCTTTTAGAGTTGGTGATAACTTTTCTTTGCTCAGTTGTTTATTTTTCATTTTGATCTTTGACTTTTCACTTTGACCCACTGGACCAATGAAGCCAATGATGAATTTCTCCAAGAGGTTCAAATAAAAAATTTAATTATAACGTAAACATTCCCTCTGGATTATGGTAGCCTTATTCCTGTGGATACACAGAATACATACAGAAAATCAAAAGAAATTTTAACACTAAGTCATGGCTATTCCTAGTGGTATACCTAATCTACCCCTGAGTTATCTCCCTTGATCCTGACGTCACTGTATTGTTCTCCTAGAACCCTCCATAATTTTTCTGTATGGTCCACACGTATGACGTGCAGAGAATCAGTGAGATTTATTTTTCAATCAAGTCTTCATTTCTTCACAAATAGGTCAGTCACATCGCATTCTATAATAACGTTCAATCGCATTACTATTTGATATTGTATTTACGTATATTTTCTTGTTTTTGGACCCGCCCTTTTTGACTAAAACTAATATGGCGCATAACATATGTCTCCTATGCCAGAAGTTCATGGCGGACGTCGATCCCCACTCTCTATGTGTCTCATTCTTCAAGGATTGCTGTGCTTTTATCAGATAGAGGTCTATTATGTCAGATGAGAGTTGGCTTATTATGGAGAAAATTCGTTCTATGGCTAGGAAGCGTAAGTATCTTCATCTTCTGAATTCTCAGGAACTAAGAAAGCCAACATGGGATCACCTTCTTTGTCTATTAAATCTGGGCCTAAATCCAGATCTAGGTTCAAATAAAAAATTTGATTTAGCTGTAACAGCTGAATGATTATTCAGTCATTACTAGCTCCCTGAAAAGTGAGCTTGTGTCGTGGCCTGTTTGTCCGGCATCAGCCACCTATCACTATCATAAAATTCTCCTCAACAATCAGTTGACTGAAGAAGCTAATACTTCACATACTTGTTCCCATGATGACCATGGCGCTTTGACCATACTTCATACTCCTTAAAACAAATATTTGAATGACAATGCTGACTGCAACCTTTGTGAAGTAGCTTTGTCTTCAATAACATTTCAAACTGTTGGCTACAACTTCAGGTTAGCTACAGTGCCATTGCACTATTTTTGTATCATTTGATACCCATATTTATTATGATATTTGGGGTGGTGGAGTAGCCTAATGGTTAAAGCATTCGACCTGGGTTCGATTCCCCACATGGGTACAATGTGTGAAGCCCATTTCTGGTGTCCCTACGGTGATATTGCTTGATTCTTTTTCAGAAGTCCTCCTTGGGGTACATATAAGCATTAAAATGTCCATTTAAAATCCTACGACAGTTGTAACTATATTTTTCAATAAAATATTTACAAAACAAAAAACTCATTTGTCTTTTGAGACCACCCCTACAGGGCCCCACCGGAGCCCCCTACAACCAAGAGCAGGTAACTCTCGCCGTCTACCTCGTACCTCAGTTTTCATGCTGGCCTCACGCAGTCAGATGGACAGAGGTCAGGCGTCTCTCCAAGGGACTCCCCCTGGAGACACCGTCGCTCTCAATCCAGCCAGATACATCCTTGCAGGGTTGGGTCCATGTTCTGGGCGACCTGCGGTCTTTTCACAACAAAGTCACAACCTGCACGTCAATGTGCTGGAATTGACAGCAGTCAGGTTGGTATTCGATCCAGCACGGCGGGATTCGAATGACCTTTACGGCCAGACATTCTCACTCTGAACCGGGCGCCACACCCGAATCCTCGGATTCTCTGGGTGGCTTGGCCTCTGTCGGGTCTAACCCCCAGACACGCAGAATTCCTGCAGCCGTTGCAGACACAATTCTGGCTTCGAGGTGGGATTCCACACCTGTTCAGTGTGTTGATTGGTGGGGCACGCTGGTGTGCAGAATCCCTATTCTGCGGATTTAGTTCGGATATTGGAGTTACTATAACCTCGTTTTGGTTGAGAGCCTTATGACCTCCACCATTCCCGGGTACTCCATGGTAATTTCCACGCTTCACACCTCGTTCGATGGTGCTCTGCCTAGGCAACACCCTCTCGTACAGCGCTTCGTAGCTGGGTTCGACCGCCTCGGCGCGACCGAGCCCACCTTGAAATTGCCAATTATTCTCAATTAGCTGTCTGGCCCTGACTTTTCAAGTATATCGTCTCTCTCACTTCACTTGTTGACGTGGAAGACGGCTTTACTTGTGGGGGTGAGCTCTGGTAGAAGGGTCGGGTACATCCATGCGATACCCACTGACCCGACACTGACAGTATTTTATACTGATCATGTCCGTATTCGCCTCCCGGATACCTACCCCTCTCAGTTCAATATTGCTTTCCACGTGACTGCTCATATCGAACTTCCACCCCTTACCGATCTTTCGATTGCTCACCCGTTGGAGTGACTATAACGAACGAATGAAAGGGATCCGTACGGGTACCCATGTGTTCTGTTTGATGGCGGGAAGACTGGGGAGTCTGCTAGCAAGCGGACTTTATCTCGTTGGCATGTTTCTGTAATTGTACGGTTACAATGCTAAGGTTTACCTTCCACCGAGGGGTTGAAGGCAGGCTGGGTAGGGCAGATGCCGCTTTGTTGACAATACACAGCAGCACTGCTCAATGAAGAGATCGGTTCTGTCGCTCTCTGCCGGCAGAACGCCTTCATTCGCCATTACCGACTTGACACGCATTCTAAGGATCGTGCACGGTTCGGTCTTTCGGTTCTCTCCAGTGGAGAGTGTCCTGCCACCCTGACCATGTTTGTAACTGGTCATTGGTATCGGTTCTGTGTTCAATGTCGATATGGTTCATATCACTACATATCACCCTTTCGGGTTGGGTCGGGTTTGGGTGTACATACGTCCCTTACGTCCTCTTCACCTAAAGGCAAGAGAGGGCGGGGGCAGGTTTTGAACGCTATAACCAGTCATATGCTATTAACCCGTCTTGCGACGGAATTGGGTACGAACCCCCCATGGGTCACTGTTTGGTATGCCTCTCTTCGAACCGCATGTCACGTGAGCAGGTTAGTGTAATAGTGAGCCAACACATGTTCGACTACGCTTTTCGCTATTCAGGGGATTTTTGTACGCTAACAGTTTTTTCCCTTTTCCCGAGACTTCGGTGTTTGGGAGTCTGTGTATTTGGGAGACAAAACGAGTTTTTGTTTTGTAAAAATTTTATTGAAAAATATAGTTACAACTGGCGTAGGATTTAAAATGGACATTTTAATGCTTATATGTACCCCAAGGAGGACTTTCTTCAAGGAATTCATAACCTCTACAGGTTTGTATAAATATTGCTTAAAGCGGCTTAAAACTAAACTCACTCAAAAAAATATAAGGAAATTTATAACTCGGTCTATGAATTTTTTCATAAAATTACAATTGTCCTTTTGTTCGATGTTCAGAGATATGATTCTATTTTCTTTTTACAGGATGTCACACTTCCGAAAGCTGACATTGGGACAGGTATGTGGCATGTTTACATTTATAAAAGTGTTTGGGTGATTTTTATGTTGTGCATAGAGGGTTGTTTCATTTGTGGTAAAGCCAAAAATTGCCATGCAGAAGAAAATTATCCCAAAACATATTTTCTACCAGCCTGAAAGAAAACTTAAACATATGACTTAAACAGGTGATTAACACTCAAGTCATACAATGTGATGCTTTTCAATATTTCTTTGCAATTCCATTGAGAATGTTAATAAAGTCCTTGATCCAGACAGATGCTGTGTGACCCAAAGAGGTTACTTACTATCTGACAAACACTGCAGTATGATGATAGAAAACACAATTATTTACATTATGCAATCACATGATAGCTCACTGACAGGCAGGCACGCAAGCCGAACAGGTTGGCCAGAGATGGCTGACCGACTTTTCAGTTGTTGTGAGCAGTGACAAATAACAGCATGGGAAGCTAGATGATATGAGTCGGTATGTTCCTGATACACATACATCCATAACTGTTTGCTTTTTTTGTTGTTTTGCGGAAATGGAAAATGTATCTTTTCATTGAAAACAGTATGTATTCTGGATAGTGACCTACTTGGCAAATTACATTGTTACAGGACCCCTACAGGTTAACATGTGGGATATCTTGAATTATTTCTATATATAGATTCTTGCGTAGGCAAGGCTTGCTGGCTGAAACTTGTTTTGTGTTATGACTGAGGAGAGACAGAGCACATGGACGCCTACAAGCACATAACAGACCTTGACAGACAGACATACAGGCAGATGGATGGATGGACAGATGAACACAGACACGCTATACAATATAGTGTTTGCTGAAAGTAAAACAAAGTGAAAATTCAAATTGCCCTTAGTCAAAAGTCCTGGAAGTGACACTGTGACATAGTATTTCTGCAGATCCAATTTGAACAATTTATGTTATGTAACTGATAGCACTTACTGCCTGTATCAGAACAATAATTATATCAAATAGTATGATGATTCCTTTATGATAGCATGATAATATTCATCGATTTTTACCATATGTTCTGTCTCTATGAATTAAGTGGTTTGACTGATGTTTATGAAGAGCAGTAGTGGGGCAAATAAATGATTGTAAATGTCACAACACAACAGGCGGGCGATATGTTGGCAGTTTTCTGGGCTAAATCAACCAACAGGTTTGTAAATAACATCATCTCATTCCTTGCATCACCTACAAAATCCCCTGCATAGTAGTTGAACTTTATGGTTAAAATGTTTAACCCCTCTTTTTGAAAGGCTTTATTCCCTTAAGATGTTGTTACAGACTTCGTTAATTTAGAGTCTTTCATGTTATAATTTTATTTAAGTTTCATATGAAGCAGGTTGAATCTGATTTGAAGCAAAATAAGGGACAGTTGAATCAATGTTTTGCACATAAGTACTAGATATGAATTTACACATTATTATACAAACATATTGTTGAGGCCAAAGTGAATAACTGAACCTGTATTTATCATTATATTTGTGCTAACCGATATTAATAATTAACATATACTTTGCTAAATTTTAGATATCAGCATGATGGTAAATTATAAACCATTTCTAAAATAGAATATTGGCAAATGTTCGATGCAATATAATAATATATTCGATGTCATCATGTCTTTTGTTCACTGAGTTTATTCTCATGTGTCTTGTCTCAAAAATAGCAGGATATAATGAATGGCTTATGAATATTCACCAGTCCTAATTCTTCATTGAGTTTTTCTGGTGTCGCCCGGCGTGATGTTGCTGGAATATTGCTAAAAGCGGTGTAAAACCAAACTCAGTCAGTCAGTCTTCATTGAGTTTATTCTCATGGGTCTTGTCACATAAAATAGCAGGATAAGATAAATGACATGAATATCCACCAGTCCTGATTTCAAGTGTTTTGGTTAGCTATTTTTTTTACATTCAAACACACAGATATTGTGTCCGATCCATTTACACCTTAAATGAACCAAAAGTTGTTTACAGCAGTTTACAGATTTTAGCATTTTAGATATTTTTCTCTGCCAAATGTGTCATTTTCTAGCTCTAGTTTTCATTGCCAGTATTTTTAATATGAGTTCCTGTGCAAAACATACAGTTTGATTTTGATGTCAATTTCTTCTCCCAACCCATATTTTGGATTAACATGTGCAAACTATAGTATATTTTGTAGTTGATCATGTTGCAATATTTTGGGCATGGTCACACCACCAATGTTATGTTTTTGATCATAACCTGTGCATGTTACCCTGAAGCCCCAAACTGCTGCTATTTTTAATGAGCCATACTTTCGTAAGTATGGTAAGTTTCAAACTACAATATCTCAAAGAAAACTCAGTCAAATTAAGATATTTTTCAATCACTGATAGGTATGTAATTCTGTCAATCAGAATGTCATTTGTTCTGATTTACAATCAAATGGTAATTGATGCATCTTTGCTGAATATAGGCATGCAGTTTTCATGTTTCCAGTGCAACAATTGTCCTGACGCACAGTGTGATACTCAGTAGATTTGAGAGACACAGTCAAATTGTTAAGTTTACACTATTGCATTAAACTTACTATACCTCTGAAATTACAGAAAATATATTTTCGAAAAGAACATTTTTGAACTAACAATTTTTCTCAAATTAAAGTAAAAAATAGCCACATGCACATCCATATATGTCATTGTGTTAAAGTGTTAATGAACACAATGTAAAACCCTGTTTCACCTGGAGATCACTTGATATATTTAGTTAATAATGTTTCACTGTATCATATTCTTTTGCACATCAAGTTTCCATCTATTCTCTTTGCTGATCTGTCAGTTCTCTTTGTTACCATGTTCATCAGCGTTGTTTCACAATTATGTTTTTTCTCTGTGGATGTAGGGGTTTTATTGAGTTTTGTCCTTTAAAAACTCTTGACAGTAATTCAACAACCAGAGAAATTTATGACTAGCATGACAGCAGTCATTATATAACATGAAAATATCATGGTTCCATAGGAACAAATGTGCAATGGTTTGGTTGTGATAGACCAGAAAATGGCTCCCGTAAAAGACTAAAAGTGCTCTTATGCTGCAACTGTTGAAAAATGTTGATGCTTGTTTCCATGGATACGAGACCACTAACTGTGGCAGGAGCTATTAAGAGATTTTATCATATGTTAGTGTGATGGAGATGAAATGTTCTTTATGTAACCCAAATGCACAATAAATATGTCAGAAAGCTGAATCCAGCAATAAATGCTTTTTATCTGCTTAGTACAAAAATGGATCAGGGTTTGGTTTACAGTAGTGAAATTTATTGAAGCATCCATGTTTATGTGGCTAGAGTACAACACTGTGAGAGAGGGGGGAGATGTTTCGAATGAATTGTATTTATACTCAGGGCATCTATGAATGCTTGGATTAAGGAGACTTTGAGGCAAGAGATTGAATAAGGAAAGAAACACCTTTGATGACTAGTGAAATAAAAGCAGTACCAGAAAGTTTATAAGTGGCCTATTTCATCTTAAATTTTAATGTTGGAGGTATGAAAAGAAAAAATTGCCTTACATGTGATTGTGTCATGTGTTATAGTACCAATATTACTTCTCCTAAAATATGACACTACTTTTGGGTATTTTATCAAAACCATGGGTGTAAAGTTGATTGTATATAAAATCATTAGTATGCATAATTTTTAAGCCTGTATGTAGTGTTTCTTTGACACAGCTAATGTAGCTAAGTTTGACTATTATAACTGTACATTTATAATCCAGCAAAGCTTATCACTCACTTGTTATTAGCTTTCCTGACCTTATTGAGGCTAACTCAAGGTATCTGTTACATTAATTTGCTTGTATATCAGGCTATAGTGTAAACATATTGGCATGGCATCTTTGGTTAAAATTTTCTCTAAGAGTCATGATTCAGAAATCTAACTACAGATGAGTTTCATGTCTGTGAAAATGCCATCGATATCGCCACAAGAATACCAGCAGGCAGAACCTGTGTACAACTCGGTTGTCTCCGTATTGATTGTCTGTCATGGAGTATCTTCATTAAATGTGCTTAAGGTATGGCTTAATTAGTCAGCTATCATATTCACTAAAAGATTTTGTTAAACTTATATCTATAAAATGTTAATTATTAACAAAACTGGTGACTGTAATTCAGGTCTGACATCTGCTTACCAGTATCCATCATGTCACCACTGAAAATACACAACTTGAAACATGAACATGAAAAGTTAGTACATAAAATAACATTGTAATGTGAGTTTTATCTTAGTACTGGTGTTATTCTCAAGGTTAAACCTTTCACACTATTCATTAAGGCTTAAATTGTCACAGACCTGGGTTCGATTCCCCACATGGGTACAATGTGTGAAACTAACTTCTGGAATTAGACAACAATTAAATTTTACAGCATTGAGTAGAAAATTCAATACTTTACAACTATGTTGAACTGAAAACTCAGGCTGGCAATGTGAATACTGAATTGTACACATCTTCAGTGCAAACAACTAAACTGCATATATATTTTCAGCACACAATAGCAATGGTCCTAATCAATGGAATGATATCTACGAACACTCTGTTGTCATCAAGTGAAAGGGAGATAACTCTTGCTAACCGTTACATCAACCTCAGTTCCCTTGAACCATAATGATAGCATTAGAAAGCCTGGTCCGGCTCCACTGACATTGTGATAGCGTTTTCTGCCTCATCATTGATTATTTATAATCATTTATGTAATGTAGTATTACATGCCGAGCTGATGAATGTAAGAGCCTGGTGGCAATGCTACACAAATCACCATTGATAAAACCTGTTTCTCTGTAGGTAATTGATGCTTGACTATCAGAATTGTCCTCATAGATTTATGAATTATTGTTCTATTAGCTGGTAAATTGGGAGTTAGGGGAGTGAGACACCGGAAAAAGAAAACACTGAGCAGCATCATATTGACATGAATGTATTGATTTGAGGTATACTTTAATAGGCGAGAGATGAGGTATGGCTTCATCTTATTAGTCTCTTCACTCATTATTAGGTTGTGTGGAACTGACTATTATGTAAAAGAACAGATTAAAAGAATTTATGTCTACTTTGCATGATGTGTTCAGAATGTCATGTACTGATTAATCATTGAAAGCTTATATGTCTGGTGCTTTTCAGTTGTATTCTGTGAATTATCCTCACATTGATGCATTTTTACAAATGTCTGCAATTTACACTCTGTATTTTTTAGATTTTATCAAATATTTTGCACTAATATGTTGTTTTCATTGGATGTATTTTATCATTGTCTGATTTTTTATGAATTTAGGTGTAAACATTTGTTAATTATGAATCCCAAAACTGAAAATTAATTTTAAGTAGTGACTTCAGCCCAAAGCAGTTTTAGTTTTAGGCAATTTCATATTTTTTTACCTGAAGAACAAAAAAAAGAGGAATTTTCTTGAATATATAAGGAAACGCTCACTTTTTACCACTCAAAATTGACTATAGTAGACTTCCAAGGTTTGAAATGAGGATGATCCCATTTGAGTGATTTTCGGTCGACATTGTGTAGGACTTGACACATGGACTAGGGAAGAAGTATTGATGGTAAAACATCACACAACCAGTATTTCTTGGAAGAAGACTAGTTTGAAATTCATGTGAATTCAAGTGATGCTTCTGCTGAGATGTTGAATTCTTTTTTTAAGCTGGGCATGCTAGAGTTAGTCTGTTACAAACATTGTTTCCCAAAGAACCAGCTGCTAGTGTCATCATGCTCAGGTGTTCCCAGCATCAATCCCACCTAGCGAAGATCAAAACAGGATTCTCTTGCATTAGAATAATAATAACTGACTCTTGTTTGATCACAAAAAAGCCCACCATTATTTAGAAACAAATTTTCACAATTTCGCTTATTACCATTACTCTTATGTTTTGTGTCACATTCAGGCCAAGAGTGAAAAATATTATTTTAAAATCCAGGTTGTATGGTATATACTGCTGACTGTTATTGGATGTTGGTGGTGATATTAATTACCTTGTCCATGGTAATTGATGTCAGACTTTTGTTTTTCCAATTACGCTTCCAGTTTCCATGGAAAGTGATTCCTTCTAATTGGTTGTCTTTTTCTGTATCCTTCCAGCAAAACCAGAAGAAGAGGAAGAAAAGTCACAAGTATCCTCTCTTGGAATGTCAGAAAAGTAAGTAATTTGTATCATTGTTGTAAATGTAGGTGTTTACTTACTGATCCAGAACTAATATGTTTGAAATAGAATTTGAATAGAATTTCATCCTTTCAAAATGTGCATAAATTAAACAGCTTGTTGGACCAAGTGAGACAAAATAGTTCTTTTGAGCCACTTAAGTCATGGATGCCAGAAAGATCCAACATGTAGCATGTGTATTATTCTAAAAGCTTACACTAAACACACAAACACCAGCATGCCACTCTGCTGATTTTTAATGTATTTGTTAAATTGTAGGTTCAGATAGACATATGAGCCATGAGTTTGATCAGTTGTGTTGTGTGTGCCTGTAGTTCTACTGGGACAGTACTGCACACTATTGCTTGCATTAAGGCAGTATAGGCTTTGGTGGTTCTCCTGTCAGGTTTGAAAGTTATTGCTTTACTGGGTTTTTTTTGTATTAATGCATAATGAATAATGACACAATGTTACAGCAAACATATAAGAATGTAGCAACTACTAATTGTCGTAGTTATTTGAGTTAAAAAAATAATTGGAAAACAAATCACATTAATATTCTGGAAATGAAGGCAGTCAGCCTTGTGATACAGTACTTGACTCATCATCTCAGAAATCAAGGTGTGTTGTGGGGTTTGTTGCTCAATAGGGATGCAGAAATATTGGTTTTACACCCGACTGGGTGATTTTACTTGGTTTGGACATGCCTCCATCAGACAACTATCTGGACAGACACACATTGCAGTTAGTTACCCTTTGGATGTTGTTTGTTGTTTTCTTGCTGAATAGCTGAAGTGTAATATCTAGAGCTGAGAGTGGATTGAATCTATTTAGGGATATAATTCTGTTATTCTCATCGTGAAAACTATAATATACCGGAAGTGATATCATCAGATGTACTGTTAACTGGAAATGACATCATAAGTTCACTAATTTTAGAATATTCAGCTGCAAGAAGTATTAAGTGGTGTCACTACAACCAATTATTTGTATAATCTGTGACTTAGCCACTGTCTTTTGTGCTTGTGTGGAGATACACATGCTTTATGTGGGATTAGGCAATCAAGTGTTTGAGGGACATATTCATAAGGATTTGAACATTATAAACAATGGTAATGATACTTAGAATACTGCCTCTAACACTTAAGGTTTAGGCCCACCCATCCATCCTCCAGGTATCCCAGAGTGTGAGGTTTTCCCCATGCTTCTGCTAAGGAGAAAACTCTCACAGATAGCATGTGTGGACCAGAAAAAAGAAAGACAAGAAATCCTTGGAGTTTAAAAGTTTGTATTCAATTCAAGCGGTGGATTGGGTCAGCATTGTGTTTCAGGAAAAAGAGGCAGTCAAGTGTTGGAGGTAGTATTCTAATAATTATTAGTCATGCTGAAGACCCGGGTTCGAATCCCCACATGGGTACAATGTGTGAAGCCCATTTCTGGTGTCCCCTCGCCATGATGTTGCTGGAATATTGCTAAAAGCAGCGTAAACCCAAACTCAGTCAGTCAGTCAGTCAGTCTAATAATTATTAACATTGTTGATCATGTTCAACTTTTCACAATACAGCTGAACAATACCTAACCAGTAGGACATATTCAGTAATATCATGAAGTTAGTTATCATATAGTTAATTTGGTGATCTTAGTTTCATTGACTGTGTATCTTTTGAATCTGCTATTAAAGTTTCCATGGATAAAACCAATAACCATTTTATTGGCAAGGTTCCAGTCCTACTTCAGAAGGATTACTTTCTGTATGCTATTAAAGTTATCAAGTTTAATCAATTTGAATTAGGTTTCAGCAAAACAGGTTCTTTGTTTGATGGTGTAAATTGTTTAATTTTTAGCTTGTTTAATTGTTTAAATTTCAGAAGTTCTCTTCACTGTCAGTTATAACAAATAATCAAATTCAAATGATGAAAGTATCTGCTTTCCTAAACCTGTGCACATGTGCAACCAGGAAGTTTTCACTTCTTTCAAGTGTGTTTTACTGTCAACATCAATGCAATGCTGGAGTGGTCATAGCATAAAAGTTGCGCCCTTTTGTAAAATAGTTTAGAATTTCAGTTTACAGAGTTTAAAAGAAACTTGATAATTTTTTCTCAGCAGTGGAAGCTGAAGTGGATTAGTTTACCTTAGGATTAGTTCTGAGTTAGTACCCCACCTACGTGATGTCTTGCATATGTCCATTTCATCACTATGGATGACCCTATATTAAGTCATTTAGACTGGACGCTGAAATTTAATAGGTTCTTTGACGAAGTTAAGAGGGTTTGAATGGGGGGCACCTTATGCTGAGGGTAGAAAATGTCACAGGTTTTTAGCTGTATCAATTTCACGTTCCACTGGTGATGTGAATAGTCGTCACTGTTGTTGTTTGACAGTACAACAATTCCTCCTTTTCCAAGAACTATTTTGGTTTATGAACTTACATTGTGTATGGATTCCTTGTTTGTAGTGTATATTTTCAGCAAATCAAATTTTTAAAAAAAAATGAGCTTTGCCTCGATCACAATTGCCCAGCCAGCTGACGCAGTGAAAAAAGAACAGCATGGAGAGCCCAAAGTAAATGTTCTGGTAGAATGTCATATAGCAGTAAATTTTGCATTATATTTCATTTAAATCACCACTGCTTTGCCATTGTTTGTTTAAATATACATCTACATATATTGTTGTATTATAATACAGTACCTAGTAGAAAACATTTAAGCAAGAAGCAAATTACATACATTTTCATAATCTCTGATCACATGATATTACCTGTTAAAATGAAGTCAGTTCCCATTTATAATTGAAATTTTTAATCATATGTTAACAAGTGTTGGAAAGTCATGTATTGGTGATTGTACATAAATTATCATTGATTTTCAAGGGGTCACATGTAGACAGTGATATACTCTACATATGCACTAGGTGATGATGTCTGGAGTTGCTTCAATTCGCTTGCTGTAGACTCACCAATTCCTGACTGTCATTATATATCCAGTCCTTCAGCCACCTGTGGAAGAGGTGGTTGTTCCGCAGATGTTACCGATCCCTTGGGTCAACCATCTCTGTATGGAACCATATCTCCTTCCATTTCTCTGTCCTGGTTGTCAGCAAGGGAAACAACTGGATCAGGATTTCATTAATAATTTTCTACCATTTTCGCTTTTGAGAAAAGCCAATTAATAATTTTCTACCATTTTCGCTTTTGAGAAAAGCCAAACATACTGTTCTCATCATTTCCTATTGCCTGATCCTCCTGAACCTTCCATCTCTACCACCTAAACTCAGAAGTCTTGTCTGGAGTCATCCATGAAGTATTCTTTTTGTGGCTATTACAAAAGAAGTTCTACCGTCTGGTTGGATGACCTAACCTTGTTTCAGTCAGCAAGCCAGCAGTCTACATTTTTGAAATGAAAAGAATTGCCAGGCTGCCTTCAGGACACATATGCTTTAGAAGCCGCAGCCCCTGAGTGAAGTCTTCTGGCCCACGTTTAAAAAAGCCTGCAGCTTCTGATGACAAATATATTGACACATTTATTTACTGCAGGCCACAAGGACCTACAGGACCTTGAGTTGGGTCAAACATGGAAACTACCAGCTTGGTACAAGAAAAGGATCTCTAAACCCATTTCCTGGACTTATTCATGTGGAAATTATTATTACCATCAAGACCTTTCCACTTTTCGTCTTCTGTTCTTAGATAGGACATCAGCATGGCATCGCCAGATCAGCCTCTATCTTCTTTAGGATTTTTCATTCATCCTAGTAGAAACACATTCACCCCAGAGATCCCAAGCTATTGGTCTCATGTAAACAAGCTCTAGATAGGTCAGTACCAGAGCAACAGTCCCAGGATGGTTCCACTCTACAATCTCTTGACAGTTACTGGCACAAGGAATTGTCAGTACAAATCATGGCATTGTGAACTTCAGGGAAAACAGTCCCTGTGAAACAGTTCACTTCCAGTGGTAAGTGGCTCTCCCATCACCTACTAGGTGGCCCTACCTTGCCTTTGAGAAAAGAAACCCAGAGTCTACAGAGAGTCTGCAGAGACACCTTGGAAGGCACTTTTTGTGCCATATTGTCAACTTCCTCTTAAAATAGCAAGTTGTCATGTTCAAAAGTATCATCACTTATGTCAAGGATACTCTAAGTGTTGGAAAGTTGCTGGAAATTAGAGTGACATCTGAATTAGGGTGTGCATATAACTGTAAGTTTGGAAGTTTACCACATATTTACATATGTCCTTGGGATTATTTTGAAATCAGGACGTTTATGGTGGTTTGGGGTTTATGTGTGCCTGATATTGGTCCGAACAACTGGAATGGTTTGTTTGGAACAATTACTTTTGGACATCATACCGGATGTATGGAAAAGTCACACTTTTGATAAGATTTCTGCATTTCATTCTGTTAGCCATTGGGAGGCCACTATTTTGGTCTGGTGGAGTACATCTATATGGTGATGAAGTACTGTAACGGATACTGATTATCGAAACTCCAGTGCTTTGTGGAACTCTCATTTATTAACATGATAGGCATTAAAAAGCCCTTGACTACACAAACCACACCTTATATGAATCATGCAGTCTGCTTCAAATATGAATGGTAGAGGGTTTGCAATCTGCAGTCAAAAGTTCAAGGTAAGAGTACTTTATTTACTATCCAGGGTATTACAAGATGTCAGAACCTACTGTTCCTTTGGGTATATTCTGGCATTGATGTAAAAGAGGGTTTCTATATTGAGAATCTTTGCTGTTCAATAATTCATAGAATACTACCTCTTTACCACCTCTCCCACTTCCCCAACAATCTTCATCTTCATTGATGATGAAATCATAATATGATAAGTCTTTATATGTTGTGTCAGTGTTGCTTCAAAATTGTTAGGGTACAGGATCAGCAGCAATTTATCACCATATAGTAGTCCTTTGTAAACAAAGGTAAGAGAGAATACACACTGTTTATTTGTCTCAAAGATAGGATTTATCATATATGTCCATGAATAATTCA